AAAAAGTGGCTTCCTATTGTTTTCCCCCCAAAAATGTAAATTATGCAAATCCCATCGGGCAGTCGTGACAATAAACTTGGGTAAACACTGCAGTTAAAACGCGATATTTGTGAATTAAGGAGCTTTGAGAGTGACAAAAAGGAAAATAAAGTAAACGGACTTGAGTTTACAAATACAATTGTATTGATTTATTGCAAGGATTTCGAGATTCCGAAGAAAAAGGGAGAGAAGGTACTGAATTGGCAAATACGCGAATTTGCACTGCAATAACTTTCACTAGTGAACTACGGGAGTAAAGTAAAAGGCGAGAGGGTTGTTCGAGCGCGAGGTGAATTTTACAAAGCAGACAGGGAACATGGCACTAGATCCCCATTCAAACAACCGCCTTCCAACTTCAACACTCGCAGCAGGGTCTTACTGAAGTCCCACTGCTCCCAAAAGGTGAACAGAGTGTGGAGGGGAGGGAAGGGAGTCACCAGGCGCTGTTGGAACCTTTTTCATCTCAGACAAAGCCGCAACACCCAGTAAGCCAGAACCTTACACCTCCCACTGCAGCGCAGATAAGTGTTTTTGAAAGCAAGTGATGTCTCTGAATCGAGCCCAATGGGGCAGGATGTTACTTCCCCCATCCCCTCTCTTCCGAGTAAAATAAAGGTTGGGGCGTGATGTAATTTGAAATATTTAAGACTGTGAAAGACGACCATAAACAGAAAAAAAAAGTCGCCAACAATTAGGGAATCAGAGAGTCACTAATAAACCCATTGGGAATTTGGGAGGGACTCCTTCAACTGAGAGACTGGTATGAATGTGGGACTGTTTATCACAGCAAAGTGGTCTCGACTATTTCTATACACGAGGAGGAAAGGCAATAGAGCGTTCTGTTGAACAAAATCACTTGGGAGGAAGAATGCCAATCAGTCGAACTGAAAAAGGACGGAGTCTGAGCTGTGCAAAACACGAGCTGCCAAAAACACCTCGTTCAGGTCCAGTGCATGAATTCGCTCGGGGTCGTGAAACAAGGGATTGAGCAAACGTTATCAAGGAACCCAAACGCAAATGGATCCCAGATTTGGAATCGTCGATGGGAGATGATACCATGCAGGGAGTGTCTGTACTGAACCACCACAGAACCTCTGAAAATGCTTGGCCCTAGAATTCAGATTGCTCTCAGAAGGTTCTGTACTCGCATGGAATAGGGTATGTTTCAGACATAAAACACTTACACCGTGAACTCAACTTCCAAACGCACCAAAGTTAACCTGGTTTCCAAGCAAGGCCTGTTGGGTGTGGTTGAGGTGTGGGGAGGAGTGTATGTGAAATGTTTGCTTATTCACCCATCCCCTACTCCTCACAGTTTATGGCTCCTGTCTGTCACCGTAGAAAAACATGTCTGTGCATCTCCTGCGATCAACCTTCATCCCAAACAGATGTACAATGAGAATAGTGAGCTTTCCCCTCAGCCCCGTAAATCGCCACCAACACTACAATATTTAAAACACCACTTATTGCGGATGCCGTAAATTTGAAACAAACACACAGAAAGCGATCCATTCCAAAAACAGAAATTGCTGGAGAGGAACACGGCAGGTCTGGCAGGATATAATGGAGAGAAAACCAGAGTTAATGTTTTGGGTCCAGTGACCCTTCATCAGAACAAACCCATTCGAGGACCGGGGCAATGCAATTGTCCCTTTAAAAGAAACACGGACCAGACTAAGTTAGACAAGATCATAGACACAGATGTACAGCATGGAAACAGACCCTTTTGTCCAACTGGCCGATGTTACCCAAATAAATCTAGGCCCATTTGTCAGCATTTGGTTCATATCCCTCTAAACCCTTTCTATTCATACACCCATCCAGATGCATTTTAAATGTTGTAATTGTACCAGCCTCCACCACTTCCTGTGGCAGCTCATGCCGTAAATGCACCACCCTCTGTGTGAAAAAGTTGCCCCTTAGGTCCTTTTTAATTTTTTCCCCTCTCACCTTAAACCTATCCTCTCTAGTTTTAGACTCCCCAACCTGGGGGAAAAAACCTTGTCTATTTACCCTTTCCATACCCCCCAATTTTATAACCTCTATAAGGTCACCCTTCAGCCTCTGACGCCGCAGGGAAAATAGCCCCAGCCCATTCAGTCTCTCCTTGTAGCTCAAAATCTCCAACCCTGGTAACATCCTTATAAATCTTCTCTAAACTCTTTCACGTTTCACAACATTATTCATACATAAAAGACAGGCCACAATTGCACGCAGTATTCCAAACGTGGCCTAACCAATGTCCTATACAGCCCGCAACATGACCTCCCAACTCCTATACTCAATGCACTGGCGTTTGAAAGGAGCCAAAGCCTTTGTGGCAACAGTGTGTAGCAGGAGGAGCACAGCAGTATTTTTTTCTGAAGAAGGAACGACCCGAAACGTCAACTTTCCTGCTCCTCTGATGCTGCTCGGCCTGTGTTCCTCCAGCTCCAGCAGTTCTTTCTATCTCTGCGCGAGTCAAAGCCTTTGTGGTATTTTCACCGTTTTAACCACCTTCCCTCCTTATCCTGCAGACACGCTGCCGATTGACTAGCAGGAGAAATGGAACTCCCAGCAACTTTTATCAGCTCGTCCACGCCCGCTGTGCCGAGCTAGGTACAGCTAAGCTACACGGGGAACGGCAGCCATTCGGCCCATTCATTCCGCACTACCCCTCACGTCCTGATGGTTTATGCCAAATTAGCGTCCTTCGATGTTGACCAATCAACAATCTCTGTCTCGGTCCAGCCGGCTTGGTTCAACACGGCTTAGTTCAACACGGCTTATTCCACGTTGCGCCAAAGCATGCCAGTATTCGGCCCATCGTGTATGTGCTGACTCTCCGAATGAGTCATCTCATTAGGTCGAAAGCTCACTCTCTCCCTGGTATCCTGGAAATTCGTTGTCTTTTTTTTAAAAAAATGATGTATTCCCAGTTCTGTCAGTGAAACTGCCGCGCGGGTGCTCCACCCCAACTTCCCCCGAATCCTGCTGGGAAATGTATGAAACCCGGCGACCATAATGGGTGGGGGTAATATTGTTAAAACAACCTAGTGACCTCGTGACCCAAACAAGTGCGGAAATAGGGGGCTGAACGACTCCAGAGAAACCCCCTTCCCCCACACACACACCCCACCCCCAGATATACACTTCTCTCCTCAGCCATGGGCCTTTGCGCCGCATTCTAAGATTCACGCTTCCAGCGTTTAAGAAACAGATCCCACAGTAAGTTTAAAAACAGAAGAGTCTGAGGAAGGGTCACCGGACCCGTAACGTTAACTCTGATTTTCTCTTCACAGATGCTGTCAGACCCTGCTGAGCTTTTCCAGCAACTTTTGGTTTTGTTCCTGATTTACAGCATCCGCAGTTCTTTCGGTTTTTATTCCCAAAGCAGGATTGTAGGATTCCTATCAACAGCAGCGTGTTCCTCTCCTCCCCGCATTGTACTGAAGGGACCGCTTTCAAATAGCCCTCCTGCTCTCCAGGGATTGAATTAACAGGCACCAGACTCCGGCTCTTATTAGTGTTCCGTGGACGGAATCGCTGTCAGAAGCGAAAACAAACTTCCCGCATAACTTTTCTACCCAAGACTAACCATTCTCGCCTTCTACCACAGTGCACACACGGTGCAGAACATTAACATGGAACTTCAACTCCCCTCCCCTCCCCTCCCCTCCATTACAGCTTTAATCGATTGTAATGAGAATTGTCATTTTTTTAAACAAGCTCTGCGGAAGTAGCCTCCAGTTATTGGCTGGAATTCTTCCTGGCAATTGAAATCGTTCAATTAAATAATTACTGTTAGTTATCTGTCAATTTTGTTTAAACCAGTTACAATAGGCAGGCTATGCAATCAACAAAAGATACAAAATTCACATCCGATGTTTATTTAACCTAGGAACTCGGCAAATCAGCCCTAACAGCAATTACATTGTAGATGGGCAGACAGATAGATGACTATGTCCTGTATCTGCTTCAGTTCACTCACTGTCCCTTTTCTAAAAACAACCGGTGTTTTTGACTGTGGGGAGAACATCCTAGACTCAGTCTAGGCCGAGTTAATTAACTGCGGATTTTAATGCGGGGGTTCAATGCTGCACACCAAAGGACTTGTCCGTCACACGGGGACAACAACACCTCAGTGTATATCCCAAACGTTCACCGCTATCGCTGGTCGATTGCTTCTGGCACCAGTGTGTTTATAATTTGTAACGACTTTCATCAAGATCGAACCTGTCACTGCGAAGGGAAGCGGATGTACGCGTCCACCCTTTTTCCCCAACTCTTCCCCCCCGCCTCCCAAATCCCCCAGCCGCAATGGGATCTTTCTATGCCACAGTGACATCACGCGAATAACAAAGTCTGGGATCCCGGTGGGATATCAATCCCCGTTATTATCTTTGTTTCTTCTGCTTCGCCGGCCGAAGGAAAACTGGGAAGCATCTGGATTGAATCATTGGGAAAAATCGCCACCCAGTTCGGAGGGGAAGTGGACTCGACGCTACTCATGGAAGGGGCGAGTGATTGTAGCTTTGCGTTGTACACCGGGAATGTAGGAGACGGAAGATGGGGGAGCGGGGGGCTGGAGGAGGGAGGGGGAGATCTGTTTTATCCGAGCAGGAATGTAACTGCTTCCCTCACCCTGAGGCTGGACACTACCTGATGATGTTTGCAGTGCTTCGGATTGTAGACTTTCCAGGAGTCACAGACTCTTGACTAAATTCGACACCAGGAATCTCTCAGAAGTGTAACTTTTGTTTCAGGCGGAAACGACTGAATCAACCCATTATATCACCTAAAATGATACATTGAGACGGGACCAAGTACGGGATTGCTCTCCGCGTACATTATCAGATTCTGCTCTTAATATACACACAAAAAGATGTTCTGTCAGTCCAGCCATTCACAGGAGTATTCTCCTGAAGCACTGAATCGCTCAAAGCTTGAAACGGGGAGAAGACCCAAGTTCCTGTACTCACCCCTAGCGCCGGCTGAAAACGCCGTCACTCCCCACAGCAAGAACAGGACTCGAAGAAATTCCATTATCGTCCCCTCCAGAGGCAAAAGTAAAACGAAAATCCACTCTTTATAACCCTCGCGTTTTCCAGGCTGCAAACAAACGGAGGCAGTTTTGTTTTCTTTCCAGAATTGAGCAGGAGAGGGGGGAGTCAGCAGAATGTCTTGGCAACATACACACAAACAGAGGCGATAACCCTGGGTACAATCTCTACTCAATTGATGAGACCCTTCGTGTTTAATAAACCTGAGGGAGTGGGTGGGTGGATGCGGACACACACGCACGCATTATCCATTCATTCTCGTTTATACAGCAGCGACCCAAAGCAGTTTAAAATTGCCCCTGCTGATAACATTACCTATCTAACATTGTCCCATTACACTTCCTTTCTGTTTTTGTTTTTCTTTTGGAGGGGGGAGCGTGAGGTCTGGGGTATAACCTGTCACGTTGGTTCTTAAAAAGAAAAGTTATTTCACTGAACGTCCATAAATCTCGAAAAGAAGATAAACATGAACTCGCTCGGTTCTCCTCTTATCTGACACCACCTTCGCTTTCCTCTCCACTCTTCACTCAATTGCTGGCTTACGCCCGGTGCCCCGCGGATACAAAACAAAGCGGCGGCTGCTTCCAACACGCCGTGTCATTACACATTGTCATTAGTTACAAATTTGCAGGCGAACACGCTACAAAGAAGCGAGAGGATGGGCTCCTGTAGGCAGGAGAGAGAGGGGGAGAGGATGGCCAGAGGTTGTACACACTGCCCACGTGCTGCAGCTCGATACTTAGAACGGAGATTGTAGCAAACTGCACCGCTGGCTCGGCTAACACGGCAAAAAAAAAGTTTAATGTAAACCGACATTGCAGTCAGTGCAGAGAGAGAAAGAAGGGGAGAATCTCACACGTACACACACTCACGGGAGCTGGATGCTGTTCCTGTCTAGGGCCTCTCTGTTTTATACAGGTTGAGGAATGGCCAAAGACACTAGTGATTACAAGGTGGCAGCTCCAACATCATTCCCCCACCCCCCACCCCAACCAACCCCTCCACACACCCACCCCCTTTCTCGAAAGCAAAACCATTGGTAGACACAGCCTCTATGGTAACTCTTATCAACAAGTTCTGCGAAGCAGTCAGGTTCACAGATATCATTGACTGACCGGCTCGGAAGGTATGGCCAATGGTGGAGGGGAAGGGTGGGGTGGGGGTTGGAGGGTTGAAGTGGGGATTGTAAGAGATAGACCCTCTCCATTGCTGTACCGGCGTCAGAAGCAACCGCAAACAAAGACGGATAGGTGCATTTATAGACAAGCGGAATTGAGGCGCAAGTCGTTGGAGTAGAAAATGACTCGATTTTAACATGTGTGCAATTAAATTTGGCTTCGGTGTTACCGTTCGGGCAGGACTTCGGGCTGCACAAGACGCTATATAAATGCAAGGTGCTTTTTTTTCTCCCCGTGCCTCTCTCCCCCCACACCACCAACCCCCCGCCATCGTTCATAGTCAACCCGGTCCGAGCGGGCATAAATAAACAAGATGACTTCAAGCCTGGGACTCTGTGTCTCTCAGTGTACGTGCATTTTGCGCCCCCCTCCATCCCCGGAACCACATACCTGTAATCACTGACCGGTGAACTGGAACTGTCGGGAGCTGCTCCAGGCACGTACTTTCCATTTTCAAACTGCTCAGAGCGAGAGAGAGAGAGAGAGTGAAAAGCCGATCACACGTCTTTTAAATTCTCGGGTGAACCCTCCATGCGATTAGCCCCCGTCTGTAGGTGCCAACACTTCCGCACCGGAGATCAAACTTTGAACTTTAGTAAGAGGATGGTAGAGTCATTGCCTGCAGAACCCTCGAGGTGCTCCGGCACGCTCGGTACTGACTTGGTTTTATATTTACAGTGTAAAAGGTCAAGCTGACTTCGCCCCTGTTGATTTGTAAAGCGGCTGTAGAACTCTCTCCGTGTCTCCGGTGAAAATGTTGCCCTGCTGTGGCTCCAATACTCGGTAAAGGACCCCTGTAGATCGCTCCCAGTCAGTCCCTAGAGTTTAAAATAAAACTACCTGAACCCTGCGATTGGCAGCTTCTGCGCCTTTCAAGATTTTTTCTCTGTGTGTGTGAAAGGACAAGGATTGCAACTTGAGACTGGGTTTGCCAAGCAAGAAAACACACAGAAGACAGAAATGACCGCCAAGCAATCGATGGCTGTTGCAAGTGTTGCAGTTTCTCGCCTCTTTGCCCTCACTCACTCTGTGTGTGTGTATGTGTGTGTGTGTGTGTTTAATAGGGAACTCCGTCAAGTTGGAAGCGAGAGCCCGGGCTTTGTGTTTCCAGGGAAAGGCTACAAGCAAATCACTTTCAGACTTTGGGCCAATCAGCGGCGAGCTGAAACTGACAGGCACCGGGCCCGGAGCTGCCTGTGTCTCCCAGCACCCAGCTTCTCAATGTAGTGGTAACCACACACACACACAATTCCCCGCCCGCCCCCCACACACAGACAATTTCCCACCCCACCCCAAACACACACATCGACACAGATAGACATACACACACACACACACACACACACACAGCAAAAACAAAAACACACATTTAGATGGACACAACATTCACCAACAGTAAATTCTGTCTGTGCAAAAAGTGCCCAGATGTATAGCACCGGCTGCCGCAGGAGCTCTCTCTCTCTCCCCCAATTTTACAGTCTGCATTTTCCCCGAGTCACGTTCTGCTGATAAACAGTTCTGAGGAAAGGTCACTGGACCCGATGCGTTAACTCCGCTTTCTCTCCACAGGTGCTGTACGTTCATTTTTTTTTAAATTTCTGGTGCTTACTCTTGCGGCCCTCAAGTTTTTTTTTCCTTTGGACAGAGGGCGGAAATTCGGCCCACCACGTGTATGCCCGCCCTCTGCAGCAAATCAGTCAGCCCACACTTGCTCCCCCACCCCTGCTCCCCGCGGCGATGACCGCAGCCCCGCAAGTTTATTTTGTTCAAGTGCACTTCCGATTTCCTGTTGAAAACATTCTTCTCACTTCCACGGCCCTCATGGGCAATAGGTCATTACCAACTCGCTGGATAATAATATTCTTTCTCGTATTCCTCCTGAAACCCTCAGCCCTTTACCTTTAGCTGCTGGCAACAGCTAATTTATGCCTCCTTTACCCAAATCTGCCAAGATCTTATGCACTTCTATCAACTTTCCCATCAATCTCCTCCGCTCTAAGGGGAGCAACCCCATCTTCTGCACACTAACCTTGTAGCTGGAACTATCCTGGTTAATCATCCCCTCTGCACTCTTTCAGTGACCCTCTCATCCTTCCGACAAGGTGGTGACCAGAACTGTGCACAATGCTCTAACAGGGGCCAAACTACAGCTTTATATAGATTCAATAAAGCTGCCTCGCTTTTGGACTCAGTTCCTCTACTTATGCAATACAAGATCCCATATGCTTTGCTAACCACTTTCTCAATATGTCTTGCCATCTTCAAAGGTCAACACGTACGAACCCTTAAGTCTTGCTGTCCCCATACACTTTCTAAAACTGTGACACTAAGTCCTATCCCTTCAGCCAAACACATCGCTATATTTCACTGAGCTGAATCCCATTTGCCACTTGCCTGCCCCTTCTGCTAGTCCATTAATGTCTTTTTGCAGGCAATGTTTATGGCCTTCCCTGTTTGACATCCTCTAAGTTTTGTAACGTGGGTACGTCTTGAAATTTTACTCTGCACTTTAAGATCCAAGTCATTAATTTATACATCTCTTCTGATAATCCTGTGGTGATCATTCATAATTTTAAAAATGCTAATTCATAAAACAACAGAGGTATCTACAGTTTAATTTCCACCTGCATGCATTTATTCTACCAAAGAACAACCGAACCTGCAGGCATTGAGCAATGAAATGTTATTTCCAAGACTTTAGCTGAACATTTACTTAGGTTCTAAAAACATCATTGTATGCGCTCATCACACGGCATTTAATGCGTGGACATTAAAGATTTTTGGAATTTGGTGGGCATTGGGCGGAATTTTGAAAATCACCCACCAAACCTAAGGTCTGGTTTCTCCTTTTATTCATGTTACTCTTCTCCTGATTGATTAACAAGACTGAGTTAATGTTAAAACAAAATACTGTTCATGTTGGAAATCTGAATTAAAAACGGGTAGTACTGGAAATGCTGGACGATTGAAGCAGCATCGTTGGACAGAGAAACATAGTTCATGGTTCAGTTCGATGTCTTTTCAAAATCTATAATGAGTCATTTCAAACAAACTTCCCCCAAAAACGCTTTGACACATGGAGTGAATCTGACACCATTACCCACCCCTCCCCCAAGCGGCCACAGGTGGTGAAGCAGGCAAGTGGCATGGCCTTCATAGTGAGAGGATTTGAGTACACGAGCAAGGATGACTTGCTGTAACTGCACAGGGCCTTGGTGAAATCGCACTTGGAGTATTGTATGCAGTTTTTGTCTCCTTATCTGAGGAAGGATGTTCTGACTGTTGGGGGAGTGCAACAAAGGTTTGCAGGATGGATTTCTGGGATGGCAACATTGACGTCTGAAGAGAGACTGGGGAATATTCATTGGAGTAGAGAAGAATGAGAGGGGACCTTACAGAAAAGATAAAATTCTAATGTTTTCCAGAAGAGACAGATACAGTTCTTACGGCTAAAAGGATAAAAATAGATGGGGCAAAAGCAAGAACAGGTTACTGAGTTGGGTGATCAGCCATTGTCATTTGAATGGTGGAGAAGGCTGATTGGCCTACTCCTGTTTCTACTTTCTATGTTTCTAACACTTTTTTTCCATTCCCCATCATCCTCCCCATCTTCCCATCACTCCCCTCCCTCCTTCCCTCCCCCCACTATACATTATACTCCCTGCAGTTATAGTATTTTCCCCAACTCCACACCCTTTCTCCAGCCCTCCAACACTCCATAGCTTTTGTCCATCAGTACCCCCACCATTCCCTTTAGCAATCCCTACCCACCTCCCCATCCCCACCTTATCACTTCCCCCTTCCCAACCATTCCTCCACCCCACACCAACACATTCCCAACCCTTATGCCTCTCCCCACAACTACCCCCCAATACTCTCCACAGCCCTCTCCATCCCACCATCCCTCATCACACTCTCCTACACCTACCAACCTACACCATTAGCCCCACCTCTACACTCAACGCCCACTTCTCCCTCTACACCATATCCCCCCATCCCTACACTATTCCCCCACCCCCAAACCCCTTTCCCACTACTCACCTCAACTCCACACTGACCCCAATACCCACACTCCTTCCAGCTATCCCCACCTTGTTGTAAATTACAGGGAGAAAACAGGATAGGGGCAAAAATCAAATATTCTGTGTGAAAGCTGAATGGCCGAGGCTAAGTTCAAATCTCTTCCTTAAAATCCCTTAAAATTCTGAAGAAGGGTCCCGACCCGAAACGTCAGCTTTCCTGCTCCTCTGATGCTGCCTGGCCTGCTGTGTTCATCCAGCTCTACACCTTGTTAGCTTTGACTCCAGCATCGGCAGTTCTTACTATCTCTCCTTAAAATCAGCCTGGGACGAGGGAAGCTAGTTAACGTGTTAGATTTCCACCTCATTATCCCCCAGACAGATATCTAGGGCAATCGAGGAAGTTAACTTAACTTCTTCGCAGCCCAACTCCATTTTCCCTGGTATTAATTCAGAAGATGGACTCATTGACTTAATTGTGGAAACATTTCGTTTTCGCAGTTTAATAATTGCAAACTCACTGTTGTGGATTGGCGACTGCGTTTAGTGTTTAGTACACATGGAAACAGACGCATTCGGAAAGGGTGAAGCTGCCTATCGTTTAATAGCGTCGATCTTGGCTTTCCTTCATGGAAGTCGAGAGAAGTGAAGCCCTGAACGCTCCAACTCTAAACAGTGTGCACTTCAATTCTTTGATTTCAGTAGGGTTGTTATCCACGCTGATTCTCACAACCAAGAAATGTCATCAGTCTCCAGTCATTCTACAAAAGTGTGTGTGATTGTATAGAATGACCACAGCTGAAGTCAAGGACATGGTACAATCCAGACAACCATATTAAACATTAAACGCTGCATGTAACCTGGTAAATAACAGACTCCAACCTATGCGTTATCATCTGTATTTAATACTGCTGTGTACGTTGTACCCTCTACCTATGGGACCAGCCTAGTTAAAACATGGGATTGTTTCTGACTAGAGTAGGTCTTGCGGCCAACCATTAGGAAATCCATTGCGAGCTGTTGACTGCACAGCGAGGCGATATGTCTGCAATGTGACAGAAGAACATAGTTTTACAGTGTCATTCTATAGTTATAGCATATGCATTTAAAAGGCTACCTAAAGTTACATTATTCGCCATTAGGTGTCATGAGTTAAACATTGAACAAAGCATAATAACAGCGTTTAAATTTTCCTATAATCCAGGCCTTCTGACATGTTCTGCAGCTGAAGGAAACAGCTTCCATTTCATTCATCAATACTAGCCAGGCGACCACCTACATTATAGAGGGTGCTTTGGATAGCAACATGGTTTCGAATGGGTTATGTTGGAACAATCCAACACGGTATGAATGTAGCGAGTCAGTCACCTTAATCGATACATTCTCATTAACTTTATTATGGAAAAGACTTAGTGACCGTTGCTAGTTTCTTTTTCCAAAAGCCATGTGGAAGCACAGCACGTGATGTTCAATTAGCGAGTGAAGCTGAAGACAACACTGCTTTTTTTCCCCTCTTTTTACAAATATTTTCCACTTTTACCTACAACACAATGGTTAGCAATACAGAATTGGACAAATCAAAACAATAGTTTGAGCCAAAATCCGAATGCAAGTTCCTTTGTCAACTGTGTTTTTATTTTTTAAAAAGAACAGTGATGGACCTGCAACGTGCTGGTTAAACCACCCGAGCTGGAGGGCCGTACCTCTAGGACAGTCTGAACGCCATGTTTCACAGGCTTATTAAACCCGAAGCCCAGCATCGAAGAACATATTGTTATAACGTGACACAAGTTTCGATTTACACAACTTTTGTGTTCATGAATCATTTGATTACGTCGACCTTCCATTGTTGCACCGTCAATTCATTCCAAATAAACTTGCCCAGCATTGATCCTCTTACAAAAACCAAAAGAACTGCGGATGCTGTATACCAGGAACAAAAACAAAGTTGCTGGAGAAGCTCAGCAGGTCTGGCAGCATCTGTGAAGGAGAAAACAGAGTTAATGTTTCGGGTCCGGTGACCCTTCCTCAGAACTCATTTTGATTCTCTTACGTATTAATTGTTTTACAGCATGGGGCTAGGTGGCAGATGTTTTACTACTAAATCCCACGGTCAAAATTAGCTGTTCACATCAAAACCCACCCCCACCCCCGCCTTTCCCCCCATACAGACACATTCATTCATGCACATTCAGTCACACATGACACATTATTCCAATATACCACACACACACACACACACATACCCATGCGTGAATGCCTAGTACCCAGCTATCCAAGGAAAGCATTCCAAACACATAGTTGTGCAAACACACAACGTACGTATTTACATACATACACACACAGACAGGCATTCCAAGTCTGTCTGTGGTAGTATGATGGTTATGTTGCTCGGCTAGTAATGTAGAGGTTTTGAATTGCATGCAAATCCTAAAACTTAGCGGATTCCCTAATTCTTTCCAGCAGGTATTCCACCTGTCTCCACCCAAATTACTCGAGTAATGATTCCAGGCCAACTCCAGCGTCGTTGACTCGGTAAGGGCCTAGCGGTCCATAAGGGAATACCTGGCAGCGCAGGTTCAGGGATGTGGCTCACTATCATCATCCAGAAGGCAATTCCTGTATGATGTCAACACCGCTTATATCCCATGAATCAATAAAGAAGACACACATTCAAAAACACTTGTCTACTTCAGCCAAACACAGCAAAAGATGAATTCATCTTCACGCAGGGGACATGCCCAGACTCACAGAGATCGACAGACAGCAAACATAGGACCTGACAGACATAAGCTTTTCTGCAAGAGGATACAGGCTTCCTTGTATTGCCTGGGTAGTTACATTGGACTCATCACGCAACCTCGAAGATTATTTAAAACACAGAACTGTAAAACAAAATATTTATTGAGTAATGCACATCATTTAACAAAACAACTTAATCTGAGAATACTGACCCCAGATGTACTGATAGAACAGATTCTCAATCGTGCTTTTGGGTATTTCGTCACTATGCTTCAGTGAAGTGTGTGTTACTTTTCCATGAGCCTTTCTTCCGATGGATGGAAGAATAACACCTGCAAACAACAACAGACGGTTACATTCCGCCTCCTACCGACCAATAGGTAGAAGAACAGCCGGGGTTTCCGTGTTGAATAAAGGACAAAAACGACGCGTCAGACTGTGAAACGTGCTTAAGACGAACTCTTCCCTCGTGATCCATTGACTGTTGCACCGTTTAAATGGGGTGATCTAATGTTTAAAACACTGGAGGCTGCATAAGCAGTTTACTGGTTTACTGAAACTAAGCATGGCATGATCCGTTCTTGCTAGGGTATATTGGATTCACTTTAATGTTCATGACTTGAACCGAGGCAGAAACACAGGTCAGTGGAGAAGGTGTTACAATTGATCACAAAGGAACCTTCCCCTCAATCAACCTGTCAGAGAAATTGCAAAACACCTTGGGAGGAGGTGGGTACAAATTGGGGTTTCTAGCACAGAGGTAAGGTTAGTACCATTGTGTTAGGAGAGTCCTGTGGAGGCAGTTATGGCTAGGCACATGAAAAAAAGTGGAGGAAATTGGGAAGAGTCAGCATGGTTTGATAAAAACGAATTCTTGTAAGGAATAACATGAGCTGAGGATAAGGAGGAAATTGTTGACATGCTGCACTTGGATTTCCAGAAGGCATTTGACAAAGTGCCACATAAAAAAGGTTATTGTGCAAAGTAGAAGCTCGAAGCATGGAAAGAAAATTGGCTGGCTGGTGGGAAATAGACAGTCCACACGAATGGCTCTTTTTTTCCTAATTGGTATTATGTGACAGGCATCTGTGTTGTCATATGTAATAAGATTGAAGAGTGATATAAATGGCTGGGTGAGTTGGCACAGGTGTGGCAGATGGAGTATAGTATAGTAAAATGTGAAAGTGTTTACTTTGGCATGAAGAATATAAAAAGAGTTTTACTTGAACAGAGGACAACTGTAAATTTTCAAAAAAAAGACCAATCTAGTTATTCTAGCGCATCAGTCACAAAGATATTATGCAGGTGCATCAAGTCATTAAGAAGGCTTGTAGGATGCTATCCTTTATTACAAGAGGAATACAAATCAAAGTAAGGATGCTATGCTTCAATTATACAGGGTTTTGGTGAGGCCATATCGCAAATACTGTGTGCAGATGTGGTCTCCTTATTTAAGGAAGGATGTAAATGTATTTGAGGTAGTTCAGAGGAGCTTTACTAGATTGATACCTGGAATGAGTAGGTTGTCTAATGAGAAAAGACTGGACAGGCTGAGTTTGTTTGCACTGGACTTTAGAATATAGAGTGAGAGGTGATTTGATTGAAATTTACAAGATCCAGAATGGTCTCAACAAGGAAGACATGCAAAGGAATGTTCTCTTGTGGGTGGCTCCAGAGTTAGGGGACACTTTTAAAATTAAGTGTTGCCCTTTTAGGACAAAAACAAGGAGAACTGTTTTTCTCTGAAAAGGTATGCGACTTTGAAACTCCCTGCCTCAGAAAGGAATGGAGGCTAGAGAGTTGAATAGTCTTAAGGCAGAGATAGATTTTCATTCAGCGAGGGAATCAAAGGTTAGTTTGGGGGGGTTGATTGGAATGACAAATCTGAAACACAAATGAATCAGCCACGATCTTACGGAATGGCATAGCATGCTTGAAGGGCTGAATGACCTCCACCTGCTCCTAATTCATATGGTCTTAATGTTTCAGGGATAATGTGTTGTGACCATGTCCTCTCTTACACAACAACCCTCATTTTTAAATGAAACCAAAATAAAATAGATACTGGAGATTTAAAATTTAAAAAATAGAAAGTGCTGATGAAACTCAGTTGGTCTAGCAGCATCCTGTGGAGAGAGAAAGTATTAACAAGCAAATCCAATTTCTTTTGAACTGTCAAAAATTGCATGCCCAATGGATTTTGATCCAATGACACTGGAGGAACAGCAAAATATGTATGGCCTGGAGGGGAACTTGCAGGTGGTTCTGCTTCAATGCATCTGCTGCCCTTGTCCTTTGTGGTGATAAGGGGCTTGGAAGCTGCTGTTGAGGGAGCTTTGGTGAGTTGCAATGCATCTCACTCCTATCGCTGTAAATTGGTGGTGAAAGTACTGGAAGTATGTGCAAGTGGTTCCAATCAAGTGGCTGCTTTGTCCTGGATGGTGTCAAACGTCTTGAGTGTTGTTGGAGCTGCACCCATCCAGGCAAGTGGGAGTATTCCATCACACTCCTGACATGTGCCTTGTAGATGGTGCACAGGCTTCGGGAGTCAGGAGGTGAGTTACTTGCTGCAGTATTCCAACCTCTAACCTGAACTTGTAGCCATATTATTTTTACAGCTGGTCCAATTCAGCCTCTATTAACCCTCAGGATTTTTGATAGTGGGGAACTCAACAATGTAATGCCATTGAATGTCAATGGGCATTAATTAGATTCTCTCTTGTCAGCAATGGTTATTGCATGACAGTTGTGTGGCACATAAGTTATCTGCCAGTTATCAGCCCAAGACTAGATATTGAACAAGTCTTCCTCCAAATGAACACAGACAAAATCGGTATCTGAGGAGTTATGAATGTTGCTGAACATTGTGCAATTATCAGTTAGCATCCCCATTTCTGACCTTATGCTTATCCAATGAAAGGTCATTGATAAAGAAGTTGAAAAATAGTTTCCCCTAGGTTACTATGCTCAGTAACTCCTGCAGTGATATCCCGTGGACTGAATTGATCGACCTCCAGCAACCACAATCATTTTTCTTTATGCTTGGAATGATTCCATCTAATGGAGAGTTTTCTTCCAATTCCCACTGATTTCAGACTTGCCTGGCATCCTTAATGCCATAAACAATCAAATGCTGCCTTGATCACAAATGCACCTCCCATTTGCTGTCTGCTGTTTTGTCCATGTTTCGACCAAGGCTGTAATGATGTCAAAAGCTGCGTAGCCCAGGTAAAACCCAGGCTGAGCAATTGTGAATAGTGTACTGTTGAGTAAGTGCTGCTTGACAGCACTGTCAGAAACACCTTTCATCACCTTACTGATAACTGAAAGCAAATTGAAAGAGTGGTAATTGGTTGGGTTGGATATCTCTAGTTTTTTATGAACAGGACATATCTGAGCAATGTACCACATTGATGCTAGAATTCTAGCTGTACCGAACAGCATATCTAGTTGTATGGCTTGTCCTAATACATAATTTGTCAGTAGAAGGGTCCAGAACCTTGGCAGTATACAATGCCTTCAGCCACTTATTGATATCCTGTTGATTGAATTAATTTGGTATTGGGGGAGATAAATCATTCGTATAGATTTTTGGTTGAAGATATTTGCAAATGCTTCAGCCTGATGTTCTGGGCTCTCCCATGTTGAGGATGGGGATTTCTGTGAAACCTTTTCCTCTGTTAGTTATTTAATTGTCTGCCACCACTTGTAACTGGATATGATGGGACTGCAGAGCTTAGATCTGACTCATTGTAGAATCACTTAGCACTGTCTATCATGTGCTGTTCGGCATGCAAGTAGTCCTGTGTGTATCTTCACCACATTGACACCTTATTTTTGGACCTTCTGGACTTTGCACTGAACCAAGATTGGTCCCCTGGTTGTTTAAGTAATAGGACAGTGGAGGATCATTTGCACCATGCAGCTCCAGGTTGTGGAAGAATACATGAAATCTGCTGCTGATGGGCTACAGCACCTCATGGACATGCAGGTTTGAGTTGCTGGATCTGTTCAAAAAAGGTACCATTAGGCACGGTGATAGTGCTAACCAACACAGCGGAGGGAATTCTCAATGTGAAGATAGGGCATCTGCAATAACTGTGCAGGGATCACTCCTACCAATTCAGTCATGAACAGATGGGCAATAGGTAGATTGGTGAGGACGAGGGTAAGTAGGTTCTTGCTTCTTGTTGGTTTACTTACCAGCTGACACATGCCTAGTCTTACAATTGTATTGTTCAGGACTTCGCCAGCTCAGTCAGTAGTGCTACCAAGCAACAGTTCGTGATGGAAATTGAAATTCCCCATCCAGAGTACATTCTGTGCCATTGTCTCCCTTAGTACTTCAATTTGAGATAGCAAGAATTGCAGGTGCTGGAGTTAGAGTCAACACAGTGTGGAGCTGGAGGAACACAGCAGGTCAGGCAGAATCAGAGGAACAAGAAAGTTGACATTTCGGGTCGGGACTCTTCATCAGAATTCTTCAATTTGGTGTTTAGCATTTTAAAAAAATCTTCTTTTTGTTGGGTGTGAGCGTCGCTGGCTGGCCATCCGTAGTTGTCCTTCAGAAGGTGGTGGTGAGCTGCCTTCTTGAACCGCTTCAATCCACCCACTGTCGGTTGACCTACGATGTCATTAGGGAGGGAATCCTAGGATTTTGACCCAGTGGCAATGGCGATATATTTCCAAGTCAGAACGGTGAGTGACTTGGAGAGGAAATAGAAGGTGGTCATGTTCCCACATATCTGCTGACCTTGTCCTTCTGATGGAAGTGGTGATGGGTTTGAAAGGTGATGTCTGAGGATCTTTGGTGAATTTCTGCAGTGCATCTTGTAGATAGTACACACTGCTGCTACTGAGCGTCTGTGGTGGAGGGAGTGGATGCTTGTGGATGTAGTGCCAATGTGGTTGGGAATGCATTCATCCAGGCAAGTGGGGAGTATTCCATCACACTCCTGACTTGTGCCTTGTAGATGGTGGACAGTCTTTGAGGAGTCAGGAGGTGAGTTACTCACCGCAGTATTCCCAGCTTCTGGCCTGCTCTTGTAGCCACTGTGTTTATGTGGTGAGTACAATTGAAGATTCTGGCAATGATAACCTCCAGGATTTTGATCGTGGGGAATTCAGTGATGGTAACGCCATTGAATGTCAAGGGATGGTGATTAGATTGTCTCTTATTGTGTGATGTTCATAACCTGGCATTTGTGTGGCACGAATGTTATTTGCGACTTGTCAGCCCAAGCGTGGATATTGTGCAGTTCTTGTTGCATTTGAACATAAACTGCTTTAGAAACTGAGGAGTCACGAATGGTGCTGAACGTTGTGCAATCAT